TTTTAATTAAATAATTAATTTTTAAAAATATTAATTTTGAGAGGATGAGGTGTCTTAGACAATCCTAAAAAGATAATGTTCTTTTAAAAAAATATTACAAATTAAAATTACAAAAATGTAATACAATCTAAAAATATTCTTTCTCATGTAAGAGGTCTCCATTTTACAATTTCAAATTGTTCCCTAATTATAAAAGAGCCCAAAAAGCAACACTTGATTTAGGGCCTGTTTGGTGTGACTTACGAGAGCTTTAGCTTTTTGAGTACTATTATGAATAATAAGTTTAAATTTTTATTGGAGGGAAAATAAAACTTTAGCTTTTAGGAAAATAAAAAAGAGAGTAAAAAATAAGTAAAAAGGGAGTTTATGAAAAATTTGTATTTGAAACTTTTGAACTTTTAAAGTTTAAAAGCTTTTTGAGGTTAAAAAAATATTTAAAAGTGTAAATTTTTTAAAAAAAAATTTAAATTAATAGCTGCACCAAACATTCTCTTAATAACTGTCCAACAAAATTACCAACCGAAAATTGGGCCTTTTAACAGCCCAACAAAGCTCGACTATGTGGTTAATGCCACGGAAAAAGAAAAGATTTTTAGTTGTGGGACTATTGTACCCCTTTCTTCAACAAGGCAAAATCAATGCTGCAGACTTTGGCGAGTTAGTGATTTATTACCATACCCAGTAAAATCCTTGTTCCTTTTTGTAAAATTTGAAGAATTTAGAGATGGGTCTGGTTCACGCACTAAAAATTTCTTCTTAATTTGCATGAAATTTGAAGATTAGTCTGACTTATATACTATATATCTTTCTTTCTCATCATTCAATTTTCAGCGCGCCCGCTGCAGCCTCCACAATGAAATAACATAAAATCCCAGAACGTGATTTCAACAAAATCACTACCATTTGACTGTAAATCTACAGAATAACAAGGAAATAAAGTAACCAAAAAATGAAGCATACCTTAGCTCTCATGGTGGAAACTGGAAAGGCACTGAGATTTGCTTTTGCGGCAGAATTGCGGAAGACGATTTTGAGATTTCATGAGGAAAGAGAAAAAATTTCGATGGTTGAAGACATGGGCAAAACAATCATCACGGTTGAAAGAAAATTTTCATTTCCGTGGCAATAACAGTCTGAATCCAACTAAACCAACCAATTAATTAATTGGGCTTTTTAACAGCCCAAAAAAGACCCACTTATTGGTACCCTTGTTTTCATCAGAAGATGGACATGGATATTGTGAAAGGGTAATATTGGCAGGCCCAAGGCTTCAAGGGGCTGATGGTCCAACCAAATCAATATTTTCAATTGTTAGTTAGTATACTTATGCGTTTGGATTAATTGTTTAAATGTATTTAATAATTAATAATTAATAATTAATTATTATTATTATTTATAATTAAATGTATCTAATTCATTCAATTAAAACTAATAGCTGATAGTTGTTAATGAAGCTTCAAACCAACACCACCTAAGATTCATGTACAGCAAGACATAGGTTGTGTTTGTTGAAATTTCTAATAGATTTTTTCCATTGTATCATTTTATCTAAAAATGTAAAATTTTAATTTTTTATTAATCTTAATTAATTTTTTTATTTTTTATATTAATTTTAACTAATATTTTATATTTTTTAGATAATAAAAAAAAAGGACAAAAAAA